GTCCACTCGGACTGGCTGCTGCTACTCAAACACCTTTTATCCTAACGAAGATCTTGGGGAGATGGGGAGCTCCTTCTGTGTGCAAATGCAACTCTTGAAAACGGACCCCTGTTTCTGGGTATGTGATCTCATGACAGTTCAGGTACCCATTCTCTGCAAAAGATATTACGCATCCAGGAAGTTCCATTGACTCTCCTCTCCCTCAAAGACAGAAATCGCGGCAGAGAGGAGACAGATCTTCTCCCTTCGCAGTAAGGGAGGGGGAAGCAGTTGTGGGGAGCGGGGGGGGGATAGAGTGAATGTTGCAGAGCCTCTGCAGTCATTCATAAGGGCGAACAACTGCCGTGGTGCTGCAACATTTGTAATTTTGGGATTTTCTTGAAAACACTAGGGGGCGCTTATCACGTAACTTCAAATGCACGTTAAGTGAACGCTCATAACTCAGGGTTTAGCTATATATACATGTGTAAATTGTAGATGACCTTGGCAAAAATGTGCAAGAATTGCTACATAGGTAAAGAGTACTAAACATTTTTTTAAGTCTGGGAAGCAAGGTAATATTTGGAAGCAGCTGAGGCAAACGAGTCCCTGATTCACTGGATTATAAGGATGAGATGAAAAACATGATCAGACTATTATTACTATTATAACCGATCTAAATAAAGTACAATTGTGGAGTTGATTTTCTAGTCTGGTCCACTTAGTGTGACTGACACCATGTGACAATTTACATCTTTAGTTGTGCCTGGCACTCAATTAAGCTCCCACAGTGGTGGTTTACATGGGCAAATCTAGGTATACTTATAATACATTGCACCAACTGGGTGATCTTCAAGGCCAGCCCCAGATAAAGCAAATTATAGCAGTCCAGCCATGAGATGACAAAAGTTCCTGCATAATGTGGCAAATGAGCAATAAGTTTGCTATTGGTAGAAAAATTGGGCAAATAAATTAATTTTAGAAGTAAATGTGTTTTCCACAATTAGATAGTCCAAAGTATTGGCATAATCAGTTTGCCTGGATAGCATAATGGAAAATTCAATCCATAAAATGAGCTTTATTCAACATAACTTCTAATAAATTTTAGGTCACTATTTTGTTTTGTTTTTACAACTGAGAACTATACATGTCTTTCTACCTCTGAATAAGCATACAGAAAAGGAATAAATTCAGAGTAAAAGCAAACAAGTATTTCAGGAATAGAAACTACTATAGATACTGACTCTGGGTTAGGTCATAGCAAGATTGGTCATCCATCAGATCATTCTAAGCTCTTTAAAATTTCAAAATAGAAAAACATACTTCAGTTCTGAAAACCCCTATATCAGTATCATCCCTTCAGTATAAGCATGTGTTTACAAGACTAAAAAGGAAAAACAAAGCTGCACCGTTTTGTATCAATCACAGCTTCTGTACACACTTCACAGATAGCCATGAGAGAACCTGAATTTACCTAATCCTTTAGCAAAGGAACTACTGGCAACTTAAAAAGGTAGTCCTCGACTTACAACTGGTTGCTTAGTGACTGTTTGAAGTTATGACCGAAGTTAGGACCAGTGGAGCCTCCATGATCACATGACTGCATTTTGGGCACACATTCACTGCTTTTGCAGCATCCTGTGTTACAATGTTTTTCTTAAAAAAAAACAGCATTTACTTCTGGTTTTCAGGAAAATTAGCCCCCTTAATGGCCGTGGAGGTTGCTTCAAAAAGGTAGTAAAATCAGGTCAGTCACATGGGTGACCTGTTTTATGACTGTCAAGACTTACTCCATTATGCTCCCTTATGGGCATAAGTCTCTCGCCCTTTAATTCCAGAGAAGTGGAAACTACAGAACACGTGTTTCTTCATTGCTCCTTTTATGGAGACATCCAATGAAATTTACACCACCTCTGATTGGTCCTGGTCACCTAGATTTGGTGTATGCCCAGATGTACATGCTCATAGGTGATGTCTTAGCTAGTATGTCCATCAGACTTTGATGGGCCAATCTCCCGCAATGCATTCTTTGTAACTATAATTCATTTAAAACTATTGTCATTTTAAATGTTACCATAGATGCTATAATTTTAGTATTTACATTGTAATTTAATATAGGCTATATCAGGCATGTCCAAAGTCCGGCCCGCAGGCCATTTGCGGCCCGCGGCCCGGTTTAATCCGGCCCTCGAACAGCCCTCCCTGCGGTATGTAAATGCGGCCCTCCCACGGCCCTCCGGCAAGTCCCATGGGAGAGAGAGAGAGAGAGAGAG